GGGAAGGAACAGACGAAGAAGGGGTTTGAAGAAGATACACGAATGTTTTGCTCACGCCATGAATCCATAAAAATTCGGGGAGAATGTTAGCAACAGCTAAATTAATAAACTCCAAGGAACAGAGACCTTCTTGAGAAGGTCTGTCGGTCAAGGTATTCCCCGTTGGTTCATTAGCCTATTCTATTCAGGACAAGCTGAGGTCTCCCAAGTAGTCTGTCACGTAGTTGCAGTTGAATTATTTCATTGGACTCTGGTTGCCCATTTTCTTTCGAACTGGCTGTACGCGTACAAGACGCATAGCCTTGCCCAACCCCCTTGTTCACATTTACAAGAATGATATATGTGAAGTTCACAGAAACAATAGCAAACAAACACGTGGAGGTAATTCCATATGTTAATGCATTTGAAACTTAAACTTGTGCATAGTATTCTCCTAGGTACAGATACACGCATAATTATTTACACATTAGCATAAAAACGAATTTTGCCCAAATAACTGAGAGCTGCTTGTGTTAAACACGTTGTCGACACCTGAACGGATACTTACGTGTGCCTAAAATAAATGCAGATATGAGACTTTCTCCAGTTTCAACTTTTCTCCCATAGATGGAGGCAACAGGTTCCTCCGTTCATGATACGCACCTACATGACTGTACAGTTTCAAAACCCACAAGGTCACAGTCTCAACTTTCACAGATGTCAAAACCTCATACATCAACTGTCCATCTATAGTTAAAGTAGAACTACAAGGGGGGTGGCGGTTTACTGCGCGGAGACAGATCTATGAGATTGTAATGCTCCGAGACTGTTTTGCATGCGTTTTTAATGTTAATCTACATTACAAGTATTTTACTAATTCAGGGCCGGATTAAGACTTTGCAAAGCCCCAATATTTGATTGAGATGCGGCATCTATAACAATATAAAAATCTGAAAACAAAATTATTAATAAGCAACATTTTCTATGTAAATCGCATTGAAACATTTATAAAATGTGAAACGCCCTTTATAGCGATTGGAGCCAAATTCCTGTCAAAAGCACCAACGCATTACCGATCTTAAGGCTCCAGACTTCTGTTAAACGCACACTCAGCCAAACCCCACCATAACCTCATTTGCATTTCTTCCTACCAGAGTCCCACATCGCACGAATAGTATCCTAGTACAATCAAACGTAGAGGGAATTTTTTGGGGAGTAGATTTATGGGTCGTGTTTCTCTTGATAGATAATAATTAAAACGATATTTGGGTCAGGTTTAGACTAACCCAATCAGAGGGCTAGCGGAGCAAACTTCTTCGTTTCAGCGGTCACCTGTAGACGAATATAAAACCAACTTTAAAAAAGTTGCGCTTTTTAACACAAAAACACCAGATGATTGATAACGTCCAACGGAACAATTTATATATCCTGCGTTTTAAAATTTCTTGTTCTTCAGAACTCTGTAAAGCAGGTGTTTTTAACAGACGGCCCACCGAATATCCGTACACGTTTTTCGTAATGTCGTATAAGCCTGTGCACTGAAAAGATAGTTACAGACTAAAATAGCTTAAGTATTAGGTTCCAAAGTTACCGGTGTCCATATTCTCTTTGCATTCCGTAGGTTAATTTCGACAAAATCATACATTCTACTTCTGATACCGAAGACTCGAAACACTTGACTTTGTTACTTCTGTTGTGAATACAATCCGTTTGGTGGAAATCTGTCAGGCTACACGTAGCAACAACCCAGAAGACAGCAATCTTTAGACTCACCGCTGTGAAAACCTCAGATCCTAGTCTCTTAAATAACTTATTACAGGTGTTTGAAAAATAAATCAGTAACATTTGCTGACTCCTCAAATTTCGAGGCCATAAGCTGCATTCTATTTAACGCATATATGAACCACAATCGCTGTCCCCCTCGCTAACATCTGTCTACGTCTCACAGACCGGAGCCCAAAACAGTGAGACGTGGCAAATCAATGCACTGGCGAGAGTTTGAATCGACGACCAAGACTGACTGACGATAACCGGTCAATTCATTTAATTTCTTAGTCCTTGTAAGTTTCAAAATCGATAACAAATTTCCCGTAGTCTCACCCGAGTCTGATGTTAACTGTTCATTTGACATAGTCGAGATATTACGTTTTATCTGGAGTTCATTTTGAAACAGTTTTGAAAAAAGCATTAGCCATCCAATCTGGTTTAAACTCGTGTTAGGTGCGTAGATTTTTCGTCTACGCGTTATTCAACCGTTTATAAAAGTGCGTAATAATTTTGGAACCTTTTCCCGGTCCGCAGATTCTACAGAATAGTGTTTTCTAATTTCTTAGGCTGATCTATCAGATTTCCGATCTTTTAGGAGTTAGCTTACTGTTTGTTGGTTGCATAAGTTACAAAAAATATCGTAGGTTTAGTAAATGAACAACAACTAGGTTTCATTTTGAGATGTTTAATCTGAAAACTCTAAACGACGTGATAGATACGTAGCAATATCATATTTAAAATCGGAAAAAGATTTACAGCTTTTGAAAACGTTCACCATAAAATGGATATCAATACGGCTTAGGAAATTTTAGTCAGAGACAGTAGAAGGGGATAAGATAAGTTGAATATCTACGTTCAGATGGGAGGATAATATTAAAATGGATCTTAGGGTGATACGTTTGGAGGGTGTGGATTAAATTCGTATGTCTGAGGATAGAGACCGATTTCAGGCTCTTGTGAGTAAGACAATCAAACTTTCAAGTTCTATACTTATCAATAGTTAAAAATAAAACCCCAATGTCTTTGCCTGAGACGAGACGCTGGCTAGTCCAGCCTGTAACCACCAACTTTACTGACCGCATATCACGGTCTGATGGGCTCAAGGAAGGACTCTCTGCCTGTTTTGAACGATTTTGGGGTACCTGTTCCTTGTTTCCAAGTTTCGGGCCGTGACGTTACTGAAGCTGATTTCCATTTATAACTGAAGTACCATTGGTGTTCTTCCGGTAGTGATGAATGTGCTGTGGTTAGTCCAGACTTCTCGCGAGGAGATAAAGAATGAATAAGACGTGTTAAGTAAGACGTTTAGAACTGAAACCATACGAACAATACACAGATTACTATCTCAGCATTTCCTGGCCTCTATAGGAGTCACAACAAAACGCTTGAGTAATGAAAGGTCAGATCCCTGTCAGCGCCTGTAGGATTTAGGGTAAGTGCATCTCCTCTAATGACAATCACCAGCTGCAGTGTCTGGATTTTAGCGTAATCTTCCAGCCATATCTCCTGGTATCAAATTTCTTGTGATTCACGTACTTGCCGGCTTTACAATGGTAGATGAACAGGCCAGCCACGGCTGTATATCTTCTCGTCTTTGTTTTGTTCAAATGTTGTTTCCAAAGAACACTGTAATTATTTGTGCCATAGGCCAGGTGGTTAGTCACCGGTTCCTCACTGCGAAGACCTGGGTTCGCTATCTGTAAGTCCATGTGGGATTTGTGACGGACAAAGTGGAACTGGGAGAGATTTCTCTTTTCTTATCTGCATAATTTTACCTTCCTTCACGTTCAATTATGTATCATCTGGGGTATGGCCAATAAACCAATTAGCTGCCGCAGTTACTAATTGTATCATTAAAAATAAATAACTTAATAAAAACAGGTATTCACTCATTTGTGAGTTTATTTGTCCGTACATTGTGTAACGACGTTTTGCCAAATGTGATTCAGGTTTGGAATATTATTTCCATCTATTCCTAGTTCTCCAATGTGGTTAGTTTCACGAGAATTTTTTTTATACTAAAGTCTTATATGCATTTCTCAACATTCCAATACACAATACAGGTCTCTTACAAAAAAAATCATCATTTTAAGATCCCGACTTCATAGACCATATTAAATCCACGGGGAAAAAATCCTCGAGAAGTTAATTATCAGCAATCATCTTCGTAGTAGTAAACAGTTGAGTCCTTCAAGTAAAATCGCAGGATACAGACTAAATCCTCAATGTTTCATCCCAGTCACTGAGTGCTAACTACCTTACGTAAGTCCTTAGTTAAACCAGCTCTAAAACCAAAGCATATCGGATAATGTTACTGACATTTCTAAATCATGAGTATTCAAGAAAGTTTAATGAATGGGGAAATTTAAATTGATCTGAGTCACCAAATGCCGGAGATTCTGTTGTCTGGGACGAGGTTCAGAAACGGGTTTTCTGACAACCAACTACAAGAATCAGAAGGAAAGCGTAAGAGTAGTCGCGAACATTTATGTCAACAGTGAGTCGAAACGTAGCGTTTTAAATATTTTTATTAACGCGAGTTTACTAAATAGATTTTATAATGAGACTCCACGCCACTGAGTGGGGGGACAATTCAGGACATTTCAGGGCAAGAACACATCTCGCAGATTGTAAATTGAGTAAAAAAAAAGGGCGATGTGGGACGATTCGCTTGTCTGTCTGAACGTTCCTTCCCCTCGCCCCGCACAAAATCGATACTCGAACTCTTTACAAGCTCAGTCTCCGAAACTGCCTCCGCGCTACATCAGCGCCATCCAACTTCCGCCCCGCGCACCAGACGAACAGCCAATGGGAAACGAGCAAACCCCTCCCATTACCGCGGCCCATTGGTGGACCGGATGACGCTGGCGTAGTGACAGACGATGACACGAGCGAGGTGGAGTTTGCGTGGTGGTGGACTGGGGGCGGGGTCGCCCTCGCCGCCTCCGTACCGCCGCCCTTGGCTGTTCTTCTAACGCAACTTCGCTACTCAACCACCAGGCTGCAGTCCTCCGCCGGACCCCAGCGCTAAAAAATGCGGGAAATTGTTGGCTGAGAGTTGTACTTTGCTCCCGGCTTGTTGGCTGAGAGTTGTACTTTGCTCCTGGCTATCCGCATAGAGAGAGAGGGAGAGGGAGAGAGTGAGAGAGGAGAGGAAGAGAGAGGGCTGGATTAGGAGAGGAACGAGTGGATTGAGTGACAGCTTTGGTAAACACCGGTAAGTGTCGAGCACCCGTCTTGTGTTTTGCCTCACCTCTAATTATCTCCTCTGTAAATGAATTGATTTATTACGGAGTCATGGGTCTTGGAACAGTGGTTTTGACAGCGTCTGCACAAACCGATACTTAAAAGTCAGGGAAACGTGTTAACTTCTCGGTACGACTAACACCAACGCATCTCATTTAAATTTTAGTGACATTCAAGTGTTTGTTTCGCCCTGACGGACCACAGACCGCGAACCAGACGTAGGCCAACTGTTAAAGCTGTTAACATGTTAGCAGACATTGGCGTACTGTCAACAAAGTGTTACCTTAGTTGTGGATTTCTTTTGAATATGAGGAAAAGTGCGATTATTTTCCGAAACACCGAGAACCGACTAGTGTTTCTGACGTACGTATCAAGAGTTTTCTTAAACAGTAGCCAAGTGTACTCTTAGAAGGTAAAATACTCGATATTGAAATAGGTTCGATACGTAACTCGGAAAAGAGTTCACAATTCTTGTGGGGGGGGAAATGACTTGTAAAAATTAAAACAGGTTAAATACATAAGTAAATTACTTATTTTACTTATAAATACCTGTGTCGCTGTTAATTCTAGAATTTCAATGCTGAAACGCACAAATATTTTGGTTTAAATTTCAAAAAGTGACAGTAGATATTTCATGTTATTGGCTCTGTTAAATAACGTATTTAAATTTGGACAGGGCAGTGTTTCCAAACAAATTTTGTCGTATTTAACATTCAAAGCACCAACAAAGAAGGTCGAAATTATATTTAACTTTTTTACATTTCTTTGTTTATTTGACAATTATTTATCAACTGATTAGTTTATGTCAACTGGCAATTTGATTGTGAATGATTTTAAACGCGGAGTGTAGTGACTGTAGATCTGTATTAATAATATATCTCATTTTTACAACTATTATATGTCCTATTAAAATAGAACATAGACTTTTTAAACATTGCTCCAACGATGTTTTAAGACATTTGTGATTTTGGTGTGTACGAACAATTGTAGAATATATATTCACGAGTTGGTTTAAATGTAATAGAGATTTCAGGGTGAAATTTTTTGTACGATTCTCTAGAAATGCTTAAACAGAGAGAGAAATATGTTCGTAAGAAGAAAAGATAAGCCTATTTGACAAGGAATAATTTTCACAGTTCATTAGAGCAATTTTGTCTTACCTTCGATTATATTTTTTCAATAAAAATATTCTATTGAGAGATTTATTGCGATAAATTTGACATCCTCATTTTTCGGAATGTTTGTTGTGTGCTAGCTAAGTACGTTTGTGCTACCGTCTACTGAATTGTACAAATCGGCAGGCCACACTTCAGCTGCTCCCTGTACAATACTCTCCATTGCATATGCATCTATTTAAAAACTTTGTGTTATCCTATAACGATGAATTCACTGAAATGGTCTGATGTTCTTTCCCAAAGAATCCTACTATTTGCCTCAATTCTTTCTCGATTCAGTTGATGTGGTATTTTGAACCCCAATTTTTTGGATTTTGTTAATCTTTTCGTATTGTGATTTCCTTATCTCTCAGAAACAAAAGTAATTCGGGCTTGATCAAACTCAACAGCTGTGAAGTCTCAACATAGTCTAAGAGAAATCTAAATTTTATTTCATCCGATATTCCACATTATGTTTGTGTTTGTTTTTCCCGTAAATAGTTGGAAAGTAGACGACCATTTGCCGGTAGTAACTTTACCATTCCGTACCAAAATATCTCTAACGTTGTCATAATTGGAAATTCACCTGATATTATACTCTAATTGGATCAGAACCCAGTAATATGTACGTCGTGTCTAATTGGGAACATATTTACTTGCATTACAGGCCTCCAGGCTCTAGCGTATAATATAAGCCTACACACAACGATCAATTACCAGTGATCGAGATTTGTGTAAACGCAAATTAAGGTTTGAATTAAAGCAAGACAGTTAGGTTATTGAATATTTTTTATGTTTATCGACGCGAAATAAAGATAGATGGTAGCACTCCCGTATTTAGTAACGCTAATCTCCCATCCTTTTCCCCTTATTTTGTTTTCAATATGAAATGAGACAAGAAATTATCAGGTTCGTGAAATATATGAAGCATTTTGACGTAGCGTGGGACATGTTTCAAACGTCTAGGTCTAAATTGTGGGCTGCGTCAAATTCAAAGTGAAATATTTTGTTTACAGGAATAGTTTCGTCAAAGACATTAATGTCTGATTTTCATCTTTAAAATCTTTACGACTAAACATAAGTCGAATTGAGTCCATAAAATTCTTTTCTAGCGATTGTCTTAGTGACTATACTTCTCAAGATGGATTCGTCCCATGTAGTTTGTTAGGTTTAATGTTAAATCACTGTAGACCATAGAGTCACTCCGTATGAAATGGTTATACCGCCGTGACTCGGTAAATTAGAACTTTAATTTGAGAAAACTTAGTATCACACTTCATTCTGAAGTTGGCAGAGACTAGTCTCTTTAAATTTCAGAAAAATGGCTTACTTGTTATCAAATATCAAGACATGTGAGCAGTTCCAGTCACTGGTGCTTCCTCATGTGTGTGAATTAGATACGATGTGCAGTTTTTGTTTGAAAACATTTTGTTTTTATTAGGATAAATTCCGGCAGACGATAAGCATTTGAAATCTCAGGTGACAATACAGGCTCATAAGTGTTTATTAACTTAACAAATTGGGAATATTATTTTCGGAAAATTTCGTCATTGAACAAGAATTTTTTAAATTTTTAGGTTTTTTCATTTGATTTTACACAGAAATTTAGACTGTTCTATTCAGAATCAATGTTTTAAAGTTATTGGAATGTGAAATTTGCTTGTTTTACGATTAATTTTTTTTTTTGGATAAAATGTATTTTTTTTAAGTTTCAATGATAATAAGAGGTAATAGGATAGTCCATAAATGGTTTATCTTACAAACCAAGTTGTTTAAACTGCTAAGTTATTCCATGCCGAAACGCAGAGCATCTGTGAGCCGCTGAAACGAATCTCAGAACCCCAAAGAACTAGGCCTTCATATTAATCGTATGACATTCACAGAACCTGCGCGATTCATCATAGGGTCTAATTTTCATTATTTTGATGTTTAATTTCTCAGGTACAAAAATTTAACGCTAGATTGAAACAAACATATCTTACAAAATGAACGAATTTATTCCTTTTCTGTATAAAGTGGTGAGAGATATATCCCAGATGGATTAAAAAAAATTGATATTATGCTGTTATCCCGTAGACAATTTATCTCTCTACCGGCTGCTAGCGGTACCTTGCAACGTGGAACGCCGGTCATTTACCCTGCGTTCAGTTCACAGATAAATCGGACACCTCCCGAATGAGGATTCAAGTGTCTTATAAGCGAACTTTTAAACTTGTCAGGATGTGAAAATGATTTATGATCCTGAGGGTCGCTCAAACTTCGAAGATCTTCTGTTTGAGATAATAAACATTCCAGTTCTATTTTAAAGGATTGGTTATAATTTAAGATATATCTTAAGAAATA